GAACTGGAAACAAACCAATAGATGAATAAACAAATTGGGATACTACTCAGCAATAAAAATGAAGTAACTACTAATCATGCAATAATGTTAAATGATCTGAAAAATATTATGCTGGGTAAAAGAAGCCAAAAACAAAGAATAAATAGTGTTTGATTCTATTTTTATTAAATTCTAGAACAGGTAAATCTCATCTATAGTGATAAAAGGAAGGTAGATGGTAGCCTAGTGTGATATGGGGTTAGGTAACTGGCCACAAGGAACACAAAGGTATTTTTTAGGTGACTGAAATGTTATATATCTTGACTGGTGTGGAGTTTACATGAGTATATACATTTGCCAAATGTCAAACTGTAGCCCTGGCCAGAGTGGCTCAGTTGGTTGGTCGTTGTCCCCCATACTGAAAGGTTGCTGGTTCAATTCCCAGTAAAGGCATAAGCCTGGGTTGCAGGCTCAATCCCTGGTAGGGGACATGCAGGAGGCAGCCAATGGATATTTTGCTCTCACATAAATGTTTCTCTTTTCCCCTCTCCCTTTGTCTCTAAAAATCAATAAAAATATGTCAAAAACAAAACAAAAACAAGAAAACCTCAAACTGTACGCTTAGAATGAGTGCATTTGATTGTGTTTAACTATGCCTTAATAAAGCAGATTTTAAAAATTAAAAAGGCCGAAACCGGTTTGGCTCAGTGGATAGAGCGTCGGCCTGTGGACTGAAAGGTCCCAGGTTTGATTCCGGTCAAGGGCATGTACCTGGGTTGCGGGGACATCCCCAGTAGAAGATGGGCAGGAGGCAGCTGATCGATGTTTCTAACTCTCTCTCTCTCTCCCTTCCTCTCTGTAAAAAATCAATAAAATATATTTAAAAAAATTTAAAAAGAAAATCATACGGACAATACAATATGATGTATGTGTGTGTTAGGTTAAGCTACACTGCCGAGGTGGTCAGTTGTTTTAATCAAGAATGTAAACTCCAGGGGTGGTTGGCTAGCAATTAATCAAAAAGCCTCACTCTAGAGGCGGCCACTGGAAGTGCTTCAGCTTTATTTAGCTCCTATTACACCAGGGGTATCATTAATTATCCTATTAATGTTAGGTGGGCTTGCATTGGTGGTATTAGTGGTTTGCAAAATAGGAAGACTATATGAAAATGTTTAGAACCATCCCCACCCCTTATTAACTGGGTGTGAGAAGAGTATAGCAGGCCCCCACCTTTAGAAATGGTGCTCTAGGTCGGACTCCAAAATGTCCAACCGTGGTTCATTGGATTCTTGGTTGCCTGAATTCAATGAGATGGCTCACAGAATCCTGCTGTTATAGCAGGGGTTCTCCAACTTGAGTCATATATCAGAATCATCTGGAGGAGTGTTAAAAAATACAGATTCCCGGGCCCTGATTACTCCTAGATTTTTTGATTCGTTAGGTCTGGAGAGGGCCTGAGAATCTGCATGTCTAACATGTTTCCAGGAGATGCTGCTGCTGATGTCCAGGGATCACTTTAAGAACCACTATGTTAAAGGAATGTGGTTAGAGGTGAGGCAAAAAGGCAGAGCTGTGACTTCATTGTACCTTTGGCACAGGTTTTAAGATTGTTTTGCGTCCTGTGGCTAATAAATGTTCCCATGTGACCGAGCTTGTTCTGAGACTTGTTTTCATTACAAACTGGCATCCAAGATGGATCGGAGGACAGCCCTTACCTACACCTAGCCACGGGTGGCTACCAACGCCTACCAAACAGAACCCTGTAACCTTGTGGGTCCTTGTAACCCAAAGTGTGATTCGAAGACCAACAGCATCAGTATCTCTTTGGAGCTTGTTATAAATGCAGAATCTCAGGCCCTACCGGGATCTTTGAATCAGAATCAACATTTTAACAAGATTTCCCAGGTGATTCATATGGACCTACTAGTGCAGTCAAGTAATTAATTGTACATTTTAATAAAGGCTCTTGTTCCATGTTAAAGTCCAAGTGTAACCTCTGTATAGATCTGTGTTGTCTACTGTTGTTGCATTTGTCTACATTCCATTTTGTGGACCTTTAGAAGATTATTTAATGACTATTATACTCAATTAGACCAAAAACTCATTTCTGGAATATGTTTGTGGGTCTCTTATTTATGATGAACACCAATAAAAGTTATTCAATAAATTGTCTAAAGGTATATTGAAAGGCTACAGATTCCTTCTCTTTGAAGTGAATTAACATTTCCCTGGACCTTGTTCTCTGGCAAGTAGAACTTGATTTACCTGGGTCCCTCTCCCCAAGACCCATGGTTCTTCCATTGTCTCTTTTCCTCAGTCATTATTGTTTATCTTTTTGGGTGGTCTCAGCTAACTCATGGTATGAGCTGCCTTGTGGTACTAATATATGAAGAACTTAATTCCTGTCCCCCCTTCCAGACTGGTGTTAATACTATTCACCAATATTACCACACTTTCCCTATGCTTCCTAGTGCAGAATTCTTTCTCACACAGTTATAAATGATCCCCTTTGGCTCTTTATAAAATAAGCAACATAGAGACACAGAAATGCATTTTTTAATCAAGAACAGATCACTTTTCCCTTAACATCAGCCTGTAGCAGTTTCCAGGGACTAGGCCTCCATCTCCAAATTTCCTTTCATTCATTTACTTATAAAAAAGCGTGGAGCATGAACTATGTGCCAATCAAGCATCTTGGCAGAAGATACAGGCTAAAAACGTTCTCTTCCCTTCCCCTTTCTTTTTAATCCTCCTTTTTAATTGCCTCTTAACTCATTGGTCTAGTTTCCTACTATCTTCCTTCTTTCATAAAGTAATATCTCTCTTCTGACCCCAATTTTTCTCTGCTTTCCAATTTTCCTGGTTCTATTCAGAATTCAGAACAAATGCTCTAAATGAGGTCACAGAAGCTCTGTCCTGTCCAAATCTCACAGTTCATATGAAGAATTGGCAAATTCCAGGAGCTAGAGATCCAAATCGGAGAGGCAAGGATGATCAGATTCTTTCAGGGTGTGGGTTCACAGTGGAATACTATCAAAGACAAGCATCTGGAACATTCCAGCTCTAGCAGTGTTCTTAGCTTCCCTAAAGCAGTTCAAACTTGCTTCCCTTCCAAGTCCTAATTGTGGCACATTCTGCCTCAAGTTAATCTTCCCTGACACCTTATTCAGCATACCCCCAACTCACTCCAGAGAATAAGCCTTCTGCTACGAGTTTTCTATGCACCAGAGTCCAACTTGTTCTCAGACAGTGATTCAGGAATACCAGAAAAAAAGTAGCAGGAAAAATGCCTAGTTTTCATCCTACTGCAACAGAAGCTATACAAATATATATCCAGTCACCATCAGTGAATTGC